CCGTGCGTGCTCGTTCCAGGCGCTGAGAGCACACTTTGGATCTTCAGACTCAGCTTCGACACTAATCTCCTTTTTTTTTATTACCTTTTTTTAAATAATTTGTAAATCACATCATCCATCCTCATCTTCATACTCCATTTTTGTTATATAAAATTGTAAATATCTTTTGAATCTTAAATATATTATTTGTTTTTGTTGTATTTTTGTTGTTTTGTTGCTCTTAGGTTAGATTCTTTTTGTTCTTAATTGTTGCTTCACGACAATGTTTATGGTATTGTTCGTAATGCGCATAAGTTCAATTTTCCAAATTTTTTTAATATATTTTTTGCGTCTCATAGAGTTCCTAAGCGTATACCCGAACTCCTATACTACCTGAAACGACACTCAGTCCTAACTGCAAGACGCAAGAGTCTCGCAGGCTTAGTCTTGTTCTTGCTCAAATCTTGCACAGTCAGTCTTGGTCTTGGTATTGCAAAAGTGCAAGAAAAAAAGACCAAGACTGCAAGAGCAAGACCGATTTTGGGCAACACTAAGCGCAATATAGATGCTATTGAATGTCTTCTAAGGCATCACATATCTTAGATAATATTTTAATATCCATAATATAAAGGAGACAATTTCTTTTTGTATGAAGAACTACCACAAATTGTGGCGTAACTTATTAAATACAATGTCGATTTATTCCTTATAAACTATAGATTACAATGGTAATATTTGTTTGAACGTATCTAACGGGAATACTGAGAAATTAACAATTAAAATATGAATATCACAATAACCTAAAAACAAACTAAAATCGATTATCTAGTAGTTTTCACCGGTATTATAAGTTAAAATAGTGCACTGGTCAATCATTAATATTATAAAACAAAGTTGTAGTAACATTCAGCATTTATAGGTATCTACTTTAAGATTGATGGAAAATCCTTTTAGTAGTTCGTTCTTCGTGACACGCTTTTTTTCATATTACATTAGTCAGAACACGAATATCTAAACAAGTCTTTTATTTCAGATTTCTTGATTCCAGGTAGATTTTCATAAAATCTTTAAGCCATTTACTATAATAAATTGGTATTCTTTATGTGTAATTATATTAAGTTACGTTAAAATTTTTTATTTATTTATTTAAGCTTTCATGCACAAATTTGTACATATGGCGGACTTAATGCCAAACAAGAGGCGGTGCAGCAGTAATCCAAATAGAAAGGGCTAAAAAAATTGTTAATACATACGTATATACATATAAATATACATATACACACATATATACTTAAGTACACACAATGTATACATATATAAATACATACATACACATATACACATAAACATGCATACATATAAATTTCTGGTGGGCCCAAAAACGATTGTCTGCTTTGCGCATTCGTGACTTAGCAATTGCGAATGCCAAGTTAAACACTCGTCAACTGTAAGTCCCAAGTATTTTGTGGACGTTATATGTTTAATTACTTGGTAATTCCAATTTGGTTCAAGTGGTCCGCACACGTGTGGATTTGAATTCTAAAATTAAGGCCTGAGTTTTTTTATAAAAGGAGAAAAACACATGTAGTTTGTTTTGTGGCCGTTGAAATATAAAAGGGAAGCTCTCCCGCCGGGCAAGGTGTTCTGCCCGGAGAGCGGCCAACTTTCCGACTGGTAGTTCCAAACTATTCTATATATTCTGTTTTATTTCGGAACTTTGATAATGTGAGTTATATTTCGATGTTTTTGGCTTTTGGCGCGACGACAGTGTAACCACATCACACCACCCCCACCCCCCCTTCGCCCCTCTCAGATGGTCGCCAGTGTAGTTAGATTGTAAGGGCAAGTGACGCCGGTGCGAGCTATGTGCTGGTGTGTAATGCAATGTACGCCGTACTACGAATTTGCAAGTTATGCCATTGAGAAAGATGTGCCGGACTAAGAGCCAGAAGTCTGCCTTAAAAATCTGCGGTGATTTGAGATGAAGACAAGTTGGTCTAGCTTGCAGGAACTGAAGACTGCAGAAGACGACTCTCAGGAGTAAATTGTAGGGGTCCTTGAGATGACGAAGACTTGAAAGTTGTAGTTTCCGAAAGTTGTTGGTTGCGTGTTCACATCACGTCAGGGTCACCTCTGTGGCCGTTGAAATAAAAAGGAGAGATCTACCGCCAGGCAAGGTGTTCTGCCCGGGGAGCGGCCAACGCTCCGAGTGGCAGTTCCGAGCTATTCTATATATACTGTTTTACTTTGGAGCTTCGATGTGTTTCACTTGTGCCGCGGCAACAGCGCCGCTACAGTTTTAAGAACATTAAGGGTTAGCATATTGGCTTTGAGTCATCTATCTATAGCAAATAATCCTTGCTTGGCATTATTGCACACGTCTTCCCACGTATCCCCAACGTAAACAATGACAGTGTCATCCACATAGGAAAAAGTTTACCTACCACCACTTCATAGGTTGTATAGTTAATTAATATAGTAGATCCACGGGTGGGCCAAGAACCGAGCCCTGTGGGATACCGTAAACAATTTTTTCCTCCTCAATAAGCTAGATATCTATTTTAACTTGCTGTCTCCTACCTTGGAGGTAACTCTCAAAGAAGGAGAGAGTCTTATCTCTTATGCCTATAGCTTAAAGTCTCTGCACAAGGATGGGGACAGATACAGTATTAAAAGCCTTTTTCAGGTCTAGATTTAAAATGGCATTATGTTAAGTGGAGGCATATTGATACTTTACGATTGTAATTTTCTTGTCTTATGAATTTTTGTTTTAGTGAAATTATTTTTAAATTAAAAATATTCATTTAATCTGGTACCAATAACCTTATTTTTAAAAAATAATTTATTAAGCAAAATACGTTACTAATTATTTACTAATTTATTTAAACTCGTATTTTAAAGATAAGACTAGACTTGTAGACGGGTTGTATGCAGGAAGTCTTATTGACTAAATAGTTGCTTGCAAGAAAAATTAATCTCATGGTTGGTAGACGGAAAATAAAGCTGCAGTCTTCAGCAGATTTGACAGCATACAATCAACTAAACAGACGGATCTCCAAATGAATTCGGCGAGACTTACGCAACTTTAATACTGCTCGTGTTGATGAAGTGATCGAGCGGAACCATAGCTCCAAAGTCTTTACCAAAGTTATGTCTGCCAGAAAAAGCCAACTGTCGAAGCTGATAACCGAGTATGGTATCACTTTCAGGACACCTGAGATTTTCAGTGAGATTGAGAGGTTCTATGGACAGCTGTACACATCTTCGTTGGAACCACACGCAGGTGTGAGTAACGATCCAAGAGCAAGTATTATCCAACAATATTCTGACGATATTCCGGACGTCAGTCTGAGCGAGATTAGAATTACTCTCCAGCACCTAAAAACGGCAAATCCCCGGGCGAGGATGGAAATATAGCACACGCAAACCCAAAGATTTCCAGCCTACCGAACAAGACGGTTTCCGAAAAGGTTTTAGCACCATAGACCACATACATACCCATCGGTAAATTATACAGAAGAATACAATTTGCCACTTCACTTTACGTATGTAGACTATGAGAAAGCCTTTGATTCCATCGAAATTTGGGCAGTGCTACAAACCCCTCAGAGGTGCCAAGTTGACTGTCGATATATCGAAGCGCTGAAGTACTTACACAATAGGGCTACGATGACTATCCGAGTACAGAATTAGAGTACGAAACCTATCTAACTGCAGAGAGGTGTAACTCAGGGTGACGTTATATCCCCTAAACTCTTCACCGCTGCATTGGAAGACGTTTTCAAGCTACTGGACTGGAAAGGATAAGGTATTAACATCAATGGCAAGTACATCACTCACTTTCGATTTGCCGACGGTATAGCCCTTATGGCAGAATCGCTGGAGCACCTAAGCACTATACTCAATGACCTCAACAGTGCCTCCCAACGGATAGGTCTTAATATGAACATGGACAAAACAAAGATCATGTATTACGTCCACGTCACACCTATGCCGGTAGTTTTTGGGAACACTAAGCTCAAAGTTGTTGACGAGTATGTTTACCTGGGACAAATAATTGAACTATGTAAGTCCAACTTCGACCGAGAGATCCATCGACAGATTCCACTTGGCTGGGCAGCTGGGAACTGAGACGTTGCTGCTGGTCGTACGAGGAAACTAAAGGTCGCTCAGCGAGTTATGTAAAGGGCTATGCTTGAGGTTTCTCTGCGTGATAAACTTGGAAATTATCCGCAGCAGATTCAGAGTGACTGACATAACCCAATGGATTAGTAAGCTGAAGTGGCAATGGGCCGGTCACATATCTCGAAGAACCGACAACCGAAGGGGAAGAAAATTTCTCGTGTGGCAGCCCCGTACTGGTAGGTGAAGTGTAGGGCAACCCGCCACCAGATGGAGTGACGACCTGGTAAGACATGCAGAAAGTCGATGGATGCAGGTGGCTCAGGACCATGCTTTTTGGTATTCCTTGGGAGAGGCCTACGTTCAGCAGTGGACTTGTGAAGGGCTGTAATGATGACGATGATGATGTAGTAAAATTTCATATTTATGAAAGTAGCAAGGAAACTTATATAGCTGCTGTGGTATATAATTTACTTGACACAATTTTTTTGAATTCTTGTGATACTTGAATGTTTTTCTCTACTCAATGTTAAATATAATGATAAGTCACTCCAATATAACATTCAACGCAATAAAAATTATTGCGGTGAATATAATATTAATATCACCTTATTATATGCCACTTTCGTGTAAGCTTTGATAACATATGGATTCAAAAGCCAGTTTCTAATGTCCAGTTAATGATTTAGTAGGTTAAAAAAAAACAAATAGGCAGTTTTAAATGTAGTTTATTTACTATGCGGATTGCATATCAACTCAACAAACAATATAAAAACGTAAAAATATGGCAGTGTGCATCAGTTAAAACGAGTAACAATTTCCTTAGTGAGTTCCATGAATAACCGATTACTAGGTATTGTGCGTAATAGATTACTCATTGAATTAAAGTCATTAAAAGTTTATCTCCTGGAAGGGGCGCCCGTGGGAATTGATGGGCCTTCAGCGTGGAAGCCTGTCTCATCAGCGTAGTAGTTGATGGTCTCAATTTTGCCGTCGTTATCGGTGTAAGAGTAGGCACCGCGGACAACGACGACAGTTTGGGGCTTGTTCTCTTCATCAAGGACCTCCTTCAATTGACCATTTTCTTCGCGGGTGATTCCATTCTCAGTCTCAAAGCTAAAGCAAATAACCAATATCAAATTTTAGATCATTAAACATCGTTTAACTGCCTCAGGCTCACAGTACTATGTTAATACTACAGAAATACTTGTAAAGAGTCCCTTAAAACAAAAATTTAAAGAAATAAACATATTAACTTTGGCATCGCAATATATTTATGAAAATGTAATGAATGTACATAAAAACATAAATAGCTTTAATAAGAATAAGGATGTGCATACTTTAAACACTAGGAACAAACATAAGCTTGTAATGCCAGTTACTAGAGTCCACAGAATCAGTAATTTATTTATGGGGCAATGTATACGCTTTTACAACAAAATCCCATAAAATATTCAAAGTTTGTCAATAAACAAGCTTAAAATTTTTATTAAAGGTAAACTGTACAAAAAGGGTTATTATAATATCAAGGAATACATGAATAAAAATAACCCCTGGGAATAAGGTGATTGCCACCATGCTGGTTCTATGAAAAATCATTTAAAAATTGTATAAACGAAATTATTTTTAAGTGAAATATGTTTCAAAAAAAAGTCCCGCTGGGTTTCTTTGTGGTTCTTCCCAGCACAGAGGTATTTTCCGAATCAGTGGTAAATAAAAAATGACTTTCAATAAGTATTACGTAATGATTAATATTGAAAAAAAATATTCTATTCTATTCTATTCTACTGTGAACTTAAAATATTCATATATCCAAAATCTAGGCTAGTGATCTAAGATGCAACGCGTATATGGTGATGTCCTTGTTTATCCTTGTCAAACTAACCAAATAATAAATAATATATTTTATGTTTCTTAACGACACGGATACTTAAATTTTCTCTCTCCCATTTAAGTTGATCCATGTAAAAGCCGTGATATCTATTAAATAATATTTTACCAGTTCCTATTATTTCAACCTTTAATTAAAAGGAAAAACAAACAATCCTACTGTGAGAATCTCCAAAAACGTCCGCAAGAGTATAATAATTAACTATATGTGTTCGAGCTAGCACAAACCTTACGTTCTTCTTAATTTACTTAATTAGATTACATTTGTTTTAATTTTATTGGGAAAACGGTTACACCCTTATTGTAGGTATACATAAGCAAGTATGTATATTCTAAGGTTACACGTCAAGAAATCTTTAGAAATTATGAAAAATAATATCGAAAATGAGAGTGATACAAAATAAAGAGTGAATGATTTTTTTTTTCCAATATTTCATAATTATTTGAACTTCTTTCAATAATTCACCTATGAATAATTTACAAATGATATTCATTCGAAAATAGTAATAGATAACATAAAACATATAAATATGGTTGTTTTTGATTTACCTGAAGGAGTATGGACCCTCGGGTTGTTGGCTGGATTCAGACCGAATGGTCTTTACAGGTTCAACATACGCTCGGAGGCCAACTTCGGGTTTTACATCGGTTACTGGAACAGCGGATGCGACGGCCACAAGGGCTAGGGCGACAGCAATCATCTGCAGATTAAATTATAGTTAATGATGATAAAACTATAAAAAAATATAATTGCCATTTTTTTATTAATAAGGCTCTACAGCGTACCATTTTCATGTTTGAAGCGTTTGGTTTAGTTTCGTTGCTACCAGATGAGCGACTGATGCCTAATCGTTCGAAACTAGTTCTTTTATACATTTCTCCCGGCTTCGACAATCTAATGTCATGTCAAACGACGGCAAAGATGCGACGTCGACATTCCGGCTCCTCGGATTCGGTTATCGGTGATCACAAAACAAAATGTTTGCATATGTGTGCCTACAAATAGTATTTGACAAATCAATATGTGTAGCACGCATTCACGAAGTAATTTGAAGCTTTATTTCACACATATACATAAATGTAAAATAATGTGAATAATGAAAAAAATATTTTCATCATAGATATCCAAGTACAATTAAATTTCTTTTACTATTTAATTTTATTTAACGAAAATATATGCTGGTTAATCAGTTTGTGTATTACATACTTTTTTTTAATTAAATTATCGACGTTTTAAAAATATGAACAAATAACTATACAGACAATTCCACTCTGAACATAAGGAATGCCTCAAAATAACTTGTCTTTGGCTTAATATTTCTGTTTAATTAAGATCAATAATTTGGGATATTATAGTAAATTAGTTTTGGGCCAACTCTCCTGTTAATTAAGACAGATGAACTACGGAATTTATCTCATGACTAGGGTTGTCACAAACCATAATATACAGCATCTTATTGAGTATCTTGACAAAACGATCAATAAAAACCCGCGTAAAAGAACACATAGCTGACGTGAAGCACCTACGTTTCGGGAAGTCTGTGTTGTGTGTTTGTGATCATATCCTAGACGGCCCCCGCCATTACATTAAATTTGATAAACCACAAATTCTCGCGAAGGAACATCGAGGAAGGATGATGATGATACGTGAAGCTATTGAAATTAAGAAACATCCTAATTTCAATAGATAGGGAGGCTGGGTACTACCACCTGATTGGGATCCTGTAATTAATAAAATTAAAACTAAACCCAACCATACTACTGCAAGACTTCAAGACACAATAAGTTCATTCTGCGTAGATCGGACTAAAATTAATAATTAAAAAATCTGAAGGTACTCCGGGTTAACTCTGACATCAGGACGTCAATCACCTCAGTCCCCCGTGACCATGGGTGCTGTAGAGTCGGGAACTAATAAAAATAAGTAAATTAATCGCGATAAAATCTGTAAAAGTAGTTTTATTCAATGTGTAGTGTTCGCGTAAATATAAGAAATCAATATTGTTTTATATAAATTTTACAATACTCTACACTATAAAATGTAAGACAGGAATATCAAGATTCCAGAGTACAGCGAGTTTCTTATGTGGTAGATCCATGCTGCAGCTATATTAGTAATATAGTAGTAACACGAATGGGTTGGCTCGACCGGGGAAGGTCCACGCTCCTACAGAATACCAGAGTAAAATAGCAGCTTAACACTGCTGTGTTTGGTATGGTAAGTGTAGAGAACCGGAGATCCTCCATCAATCAAGAGGCATTCCATCTTAGTCCTCACGGGTGACAACGCATCTGCATTTTGATTTTTTTATTGAGGATAGATGTGGATGTCTATGGGTCACAGCAACCACTTACCATCAGGTGGACTGTGTGTTCGTTTATCACCCTCTCCTATAAAAAAAAAACCTGAATAAGCGGAAGTCGTAAAGAGTTCTAATCGTAGTACTGGGACAATTAGTCCTAGTCCTATATTCAATTTTATTAACTCAGATATCCCTTACTGCATCAAGAACCTACTTTATACCTACCCTGATTACAGTTTAGTGCATTTAATAATAATAATAAAAGCCCATTTCAAAAAAGGCGTATCGTAAGAATCAGTTATACGCCTGAAAGATCTCATGAGTTGTGACAGATAGTAGTATACCGTGTTGTATATACCAGATGTAAAATAATTATACCAACAATGGAAAGCAGTGTCAAAGATGTGATACGATAAATACTGCGATTACCAATCCATCTTGGCGATTAAAACAATAATAATTAAAAATTAAAAATTTTGTATAACCGACTTCAATATAAATTATTAAGAATAAGTCAAAAACTATCAAACATACCTTGATCAAATATATGGGCCTACGTGCGCAGCACCAGTTTTTAAAATTAAAAAAGAATCATCGAAATCGGTTCAACTAGAAAAACTTATGAGGTAACTCCATTTTTTTTTTAAATACATACAGTGGAATTGAATACCGAACTATTGAAGTTGGTAGAAAAATGTAAAGTTAATGTAAAGTTTTAAATAACTGTAACTGTAACTGCCTCTACGACTCCAATATTCTGTGAGATGTTATTGTGACCCATAGACATCTACATCTATCCTCAATAAAGACTCAAGATGCAGATGTGTTGTCACCCGTGAGGACTAAGATGGAATGCCTCTTTGCCAGTAAAAAGGGTCTCCGGTTCTCTACACTCACCATACAAAACAGTAGTGTTATGCTTCTATTTTACGCTGGTATTCTGTGAGAGCGTGGTCATTCCCTAGTTGAGCCGTCTTATTCGTGCTACAATTATTACTAATATAGCTGTAGCATTGCTCTACCACGTAATAAAATCCATTAGCTTCCTGTGTCTGACTTGGTCGTCACTCCATCTAGTCCGCCCTACATTTTGCTTATCAATACGAGGCTACTCCTCAGGACCCTATCTGCATCATCGATTTAAAAACTCTACTTTTGATAATCTCCGCACTTAGTAGTATTTAGTTAAATTAAGCTTTTTATTTGTATAGGTGATTTAGGAAAGCAAGAAAAACATCGTCATCAATTAATAATGGCCTTTAGGAATTTTAGATACACTGTTTGTTTAATTAAGGGAAATGTAACAGTTTTATTATATTTTTCTAAATCTTCTATATTTCCAATCGTTTATACATGTTTATCAACAATGGATTGGATATTTTTTTATTTCTTGGTTTTTATACCCTCTCAAATAATTCTGTGAAAGTTAGAGAATACATTTTCTTCAATTATACATAAAATCAAAAGTATTTTTCTTATTCTTACGTTAACTGTAGAAGCACTAGTTAATTATCTTAGTTTGCTAGTTCTTAAGAAATAACATGACAAATTCAGAACTTTTTTAAAAACTTTAGAACTTTTCAAAACATTCATCGAACTTTAAGTTATCTATAAATATATAGATAAAAAAATTATTTGATATAATAATATATAATTATTAGATATAATAATATGTAATTAATTGATAGAAATTTATTTCATCATCATCATCATCATCATTACAGCCCTTCACAAGTCCACTGCTGAACATAGGGCTCCCCCAAAGAATGCCACAAAGCACAGTCCTGAGCCACTTGCATCCATCGACTTCCTGCATGTCTTACCAGGTCGTCACTCCATCTCGTGGGGGGACGCCCTACACTTCGCCTACCGGTACGAGGCCGCCACTCGAGAACCTTTCTTCCCCATCGGTTGTCGGTTCTTCGAGCTATATGGCCGGCCCACTGCCACTTCAGCTTACTAATCCGTTGGGCTATGTCGGTTACTCTGGTTCTACTGCGGATATCCTCATTCCTAAGTTTATCACGCAGAGAAACTCCGAGCATAGCCCTCTCCATAGCTCGCTGAGCGACCTTGAGGTTTCTCATACGGCTAGCAGTGAAGGACCACGTCTCAGTTCCGTAAGTCATCACTGGCAACACGCACGGGTTGTATAATTTCGTTTTAAGGTTTTGAGGTATGTCTGACGAGAAGATGTGTCGTAGCTTCCCGAACGCTGCCCAGCCGAGTTGAATCCGTCGATTGACCTCTCGGTTGAAGTTGGACTTACCTAGTCGGACTATTTGTCCCAGGTAAACATACTCGTCAACAACTTCGAGCTTAGTGTTCCCAACAACTACCGGCATAGGTGTGACATGGACATTAAACATGATCTTTGTTTTGTCCATGTTCATCTTAAGACCTATCCGTTGGGAAACACTATTGCGGTCATTGAGCATAGTGCTTAGGTCCTCCAGCGATTCTGCCATAAGGACTATATCGTCGGCAAATCGAAGGTGAGTGATGTACTCGCCATTGATGTTGATACCGTATCCTTTCCAGTCCAGAAGCTTGAAAACGTCTTCCAATGCAGCGGTGAAGAGTTTCGGGGATATGACGTCACCCTGTCTTACACCTCTCTGCAATTGGATAGGTTTCGTACTCGGATAGCCATCGTAGCCCTACTGTACAAGCACTTCAACACTTCGATATACCGACAGTCAACTTGGCACCGCTGAATGGACTGCAGCACCGCCCAAATTTCGACGGAATCAAAGGCTTTCTCATAGTCCACATACGCCACACATAGTTGCAAATTGTACTCTTCGGACTTCTGTACAATTTGCCGAAGGGTATCTATGTGGTCTATGGTGCTAAAGCCCTTTCGGAAACCGGCTTGTTCGTGAGGCTGGAAGTCGTCAAGTCTGCGCGCGAGACGATTCGTAATGACTCTCGAAAACAGCACGTAGACGCGGCTCAGAAGAGAAATCGGTCTGTAGTTCTTCAAGAGAGCGTTGTCACCTTTCTTGAAGAACAAGACCACCGCACTTCTGCTCCACGCCTCCGGTGTAATGCCACCATGGAGGACGGAATTAAAGAGCTTCTGAAGGACTTCAAGTACCGGTTTTCAGAAGCACTTTCAGAAGTTCCGCTGTAATTCCATCCTCGCCTGGGGCCTTGCCGTTTTTAAGGTGCTGGAGAGCCATTCTAATCTTGCTCAGACTGACGTCCGGGATATTATCGGAATAATGTCGGATAAGACACGCTCTTGGATCGTTACTCACACTTGCGTGTGGCTCCAACGATGATGTGTACAGCTGTCCATAGAACCTCTCAATCTCACTCAAAATCTCAGGTGTCCCGGAAATGACGCTGCCACGCTCGGTCTTCAGCTTCAACAGTTGACTCTTTCTGGCAGACAGATCTCTAGCAAAGACTTTGGAGCCTTGGTTCCGCTCGATCGCTTCTTCAATACGAGCTGTATTGAAGTTGCGTAAGTCCCGCCGCATGCATTTGGAGATCTGTCTGTTCAGATGCCTGTATGCTGTCAAGTCTGTTGAAGAATGTAGCTTCATCTCCCGTCTAACAGCCATG